CAGATGATCATGGCATCATAGAGCTGAACAATATTTCCTTCCTGAAGCAGAAGAAACCCTGACAGGGTTTCCATGGACACGCAGGCCTGTCCCATCCCTGGGGCTGGGTTCTGAACCTCTAGTGTCCTTCACACCACCGTGGCGACCATCTGCACTGACTGTTCAACGCTCAACAGGCCTTCCTTTTGTTGATGCGGCGTATCACGTTAATTAGATTGTGTATGTAGGAGCGTCCCTGGAATAAATCCCTCCTGGTCATAGTGCCTTTCAGTATTTTGTTGCATTTGGCTTGCTCGTATTTTGTTGAGGAGTGTTACGTCTCTCTGTGCATCTAGACATTATCTAGTTTTCTTTTTTGCTTATGACGTCCTTTCCTATTTTGGGGTATCACTGTAATAGTGGCCTCATTTGAAGAGTTCCTCCTCACTTTTTCCAACAGAATAATTTCTAGATTTGTATCTCTGAGGAAGCTAGTTGCTCTTCCATAGAATCTGTTGCTGTATTTCCCTTGCTTTCCATAGCACTGATCTCACTTAAATTGTCAGAACTTGCATCTTTGGTCTTTTTTTATAGTTTCAGCCTCTGGTAAAATACTCCCTCTACTCATTAATTCCTGAATTCACTGAATTGTCTTTCTGTGTTTTCTTATATCTCTGAGTTTCTTTGACAGCTATCTTGCATTCTTTGTTACACCACATTTTCTATGTTTAAGTTTAGTTTCTGGAGAATTGGCATTTTCTGTTTTAACCTTGTAGTTATCTTGTACTGTGTTATCTTGAGACTTGATCTATTTCTCTGCACGACTAACACCATTTAAAAGTTTTGTCACTTTTGTTTGCTTGGGTTCAAGATCAGTGGCTTAGTAATGGATACATTTCTTTTTTCCAGTAGGTGGTGCTATTATGTTAACTTGTGGTTGCTGCTCATGCTGCTGCTGTGTCACAGTCTGTGGAGGCAGACATAGCTACCACTGTGTTTCTGAAAGGGAGAGGGCACAGGGGATTTCTGCTCTAGTGGGCCTTGGCAGCCTGGATCATGTACATAACCCCACTTCTGCCTCACCTTCTGGAAGCCTCAGATCTGAGAGTCTCTTAGTGTACATGGCTTTTGGGTACCAGTACTTATGTGACAGGTAGGGACAGGGTGTTGACACCAGTCTTGACACTGTTTTTTAATTTGACACCAAAAACAATGGCAATGAAAGAAAAATCAAACAAGTGTGACTATATCAAAAGTATGCTTAGTAGTAGTAGTGGTGGTGGTAATAGTAATAGTACTTTAACTTGACATTTCACCAAAAGTTAGGCAACTTAGAGATCAGAAGCTTTACAAATAAGGTGTTCTGACTTTTCTTCAGGAATTAAGATATTTAGTTTCAAGGAGGTACTGACCTTTAGGAAAGTCCTTAAATTCATTTGTATTCCTAGTAAATGTCCTTAGATAAAAGAGACTGCTAAAAATCTGCTCAAAATTCCCCTTTAGATAAGGAAAATGCTGCATTATTCCTCAGTATTGAGGAAATACTACAAGAGTTCAAAGTGACTGGTTACCAGTAATGTTACAGTATCGAAAATAATAGGAAACTCTAAAAAAATTTCTGTAACTCCCTAGCCATTTTTCCTAAAAAGCTATTTGATATATCTGCAGTCTGAATTTTAAGCACATTTGACAGGCCCGAATATTTTGTTAGCATAACATGATTCTAAGAAATATGCTGATGACAGGTTGGAATGTGTAATGTCTTTTGTTAGCTGACAGGATTTACTTATGGACAGAAGATTTGCAAGTGGGCATAGTGTATCTATGAAATCATGGATTGAGTTGTAAAATCATTCCTTAACCTCTCATTCTTTGATTTCCTTTAATGTTTCATATTGATTTATAGTTCTTAATAGATGCTATAGTCCCACAATCATGCTTTCAATTGTACTTGTGTACAGTTGACGCCTTCCATTTGGGGACCACCACATTACATTGTGGGCACCATTAAGTGGCATAGTAGAGATTTTAGGTGAAACTTACAGTTTTTTTCTATTAATACTTGTATTTTGGGGAGAAATATAACCAGTGCATCAAACTCATTTGTAAAATAAATGAGTTTGGATAAATATAAAATTACCTTTTAAATTTAGTTCATGTTTTTTTGAAAGAGTTAGATACTGAAGGAAAAATCAAATAGTCAGTGACTTTTTACAATAACTGACTACTAGAAACAACCTAGGTATTAAAGGGCAGGTGAGTAGATTAGGAAGATGTGGTACAGCTATATAAAGAAAATAAATGAACTGCCATTTGCAAGAATGAGGGGATTATGTTAAGCAAAATGAGTCAGGTGAAAGGCAAATAGTAAATGGTTTCACTTATATATGGAATCTAGAGAAACAAAACAAAGTGTCAGGGCAAAACCAAAGCAATAACAAACCTGGGAAATCTGATTGTGGAACTGAGGTTACAAGAATAGGAGGAAAAGAAAATACAGTGCGTGGGCAAAATGAGTTATAGGAATATGGGTGCCTTGGTTGTGGGTGTGGTGTGGTGACATGCATCTAAAGATGTGTGATCCCATGTCTCTGAATCATACACAGAGCTGTAAACCCATGTTACCCTAATAAAAAATTTAAGAAGTTAAGAAATGATATAGTGGAAATGACAGTATGGCAAAAAATGTAGCAGTGGTGTTAAGGTTTTGTAAGAGCCAAGTATGGTTGGCAGTTTTGTACTACCAGGTGGTTTGATTCAACATTATATATAATTTGGGTTACCCCAGCACATTTATACATTGTGGTATAATGTATTGAAATATTGTGATGACAGTAGTTGAATAGAAAGGAGTCTGTACAATGCAGTACATCTGGGGTATGCTAGAAGTGATAGTAATTTCTGACTCAAATGCATTTTCAAGGGCCACAGGTTGCCCTGATGTCCAGTAACTGCACACTCAAGCATCCTTCCCAGCACATACATCATGTGCTGTTATTAAGGAACACGAGGGTGCTACCCTGTCTATTCCATTATGAGATGCTTTTAGTAGGAAAAAATAACAACACCTGAGATTAGAAAACAGTATTTCAGAAAGGTGAAAAATAATTCCTGAATGGAGAACATGCTATAATATTGAATAACACTATAGGCTAATTTTTATTCTGTCACTACTTAAATATCCATGGTAAAAGAGAAATTTCAATTTCAATAGCCCCATGTACTGTGTGACTTTCTTTTTCTGTCACAACGACCTTGGGATGATGTCCCAAAAAGCTTTGAGTATTCTGGTTATTTGCATACATTCTCAAAATCTCCACTTAAACCTGCTTGCTTTGAGGATTGGTTTTTCTTTTGGAACCATTATACAGTGCTTAGGAGACAGCCAATGAGTGAATTAGGATTTTGAGAGAAAGGTTCTTAGACTACATGGAACACTGAACAAGTAAGTGAAAACAGCATGCTGGGCAGCCTGACCTCTGATGTGTCTGTGACAACAAAGAGAGTGTCAGTGAGTTAGTTAATCTCAGACAGAGCTTTCTAGAACAGGACTGATTAACACAAGGCATTCACACATACCTCCTGTGATCATTGCCATTCTTTTTTTATTTTTTCTGAAATGGCCACTAGGAAGTATTTGATCAACCTTATATAGAAGAGAAATATTTCAAATCTATGATAGTCATTACTTACATTTGTTTTTGTTGTCTCTTTTCCCATGTTCAGTTTCCAAAAAGCATAAAAACAAAAACCTTTTCCTGTATGCCAAAAATACATAGTTTCATGTTTCTTTGAATTTCTAAAAATTTGTTATTGGTTAATATGCTTTAAGGAGCCAGCAATATATTAAACATGGCAGAGAGCTAGGTATGCACGAATATACTGGGCACTCATAGGAAAACAGAAAAATTTAAGGAGATAATTACATAGAAAGCAATGTCTTTGTATTTACCTTGAGAGATTTTGGGTCACTGTGAGGAGAGTAGATCACAAAAACACCTTGAAACATGCCTAGAGGAGGAGTTGAAGGGTTTGTTGTAGTAAGCAGTCAGAACCTCTGGCTGGGTGCCTTACTACATTAATTTTCCAAGTACTTTGGGTGGGTCACTCCAACATCCTGCCTGCAAATGCTAAATAAATACCAAGTTCACGTCAGACTAGAGAACCAACGTACTAATGTCATTTAAGAATTAGAATGCTAATTATTTTCGCTTGATAATTCTCGTCCCAAATACCTGATGTTGGCACACCCAATCCAATATAAATCCTCTGTGCAGATGTTCATAGGGATAGGTAGGGTAGTCAAATATCCATTCTCTTTGAAACAACTCAAATCAGAAGCAGGAGGGGGTCAGGAATATTGAGATAGGATATGAGCTCACTTCTTACTGAAAAACTGTTAAGAATTAGCAAAGCCCAGAGAGTTTGTGCATAAAAGTCAAGGAAATTTGCATATGAATTGAAAAAAGACGTTAGATTTAGAAAACACTGGGCAAGGGGACAGCTTCAGTGCGTGTAGCTACTTGTCCAGCAATAATACATTCAATTTTTCAGTTTAAACATTCCAGCACTACCTGATGCAATGTTACTGCTACACTCTGGAATTTTTAAAAGGTGCTTGCATCCCTAGAACCAACCCCAAAGCATGACATTTCATTAAATATGTGCATAATGAACAGCTGCTAAATCCTCTATTCCTCTCAATATTGTTTATAACAAGACATTGTAGTTTTCAGGGTGAGACCTTGAGCAAATAACCTTTTATGGGGGGAGGGGTGAACAAACAACTCAACGGCAAAGGGGTGTGTTACTTGTAAAGGTGCTCAGGGAATTTTAGTCTGAATAATGCAGACACCTCATTTCCCAGAGGAGGAAATGGTTTTATAAAAGTTTTGAGAGGGCTCCTGTCTGCTTGGCTGGGTTACAATCCTGGGCTCTGGCGCTGGCCTGCTCCTTAGCATTGTAAGTTTCAGCAATTGACTAGGCAGGACCAGGCACTGGTTTTGTGTTTTTTTTTCCTCTCTCACTTCCCTGCGATGTTTTGAACTGCCTTCCTACAGACGTCATACAACCCTTAAGGAGTAGTTTCTGCCTTGCGAGATTGAATGGTAGTTCTCATTCACAAAGAGTTGGAGTCACAATGTAAGCAGAGGACACAACGGAAATTACATTCACAGGTAAAAACAGTGACCCAAGCAAGAGCAGTGTGGAGAGCTTTTTTTCCCTGGCTGACTTTTTGGCTCCCCGAGAAGCGTTTTCCTGTGGTTGCCCTGAAATGGAACTTCCCTGACAGCTCTCCAGTGTCACAGTACCTCGCGGTCGTTCTCTTTTTCTTTCACTCTACCTGAGTACTTCCAGAGTGGAAACCTTTAAACCTGTTATTATGGAATTGCAAAAAAGAAGGGCTCAAGTGGCTGTTTCACTGTGTTGGTTTTTCTTGTGACCAGATGAAGAATAGATTTCAAATGTAGTTCCTCCCTTGGCAATGCAAAACAGAAAAGAAACTGTCACTTCTGAGCAGCTTAGTGCTGGATTAAATTCAGTCTGAAAAAGGAAAGCGCTCCTGTGTTTAGAAGTGTCCCTATGTTCTGGACGGGGGCAGAAGTTGGACTCTGGGAAATTTGGATTTCTTCAAGCAGCCTCCCTTTGGAAATGGAATATATTTAAAACCGCCTTTGTAGAAAGACAGCTGAAATGTGTTAATCAGAATACTTGGAGACTTTTTTTCAAAATGAGCATTATTATGAAGCCAAGATCCCGGTCTACAAGTTCCCTGAGGACTTCAGAAGCACTTTGGTAACGTGCATTTCTCTCATGCTTCTCTCTTTTTTCCTTTTAGGATTGACGTAATACTGGAGTATTTAGTAATTGCTCACGAGGTTTAAGAGTTGGGTGTGAGGTTAAGGCTTTGTAAGAAAGAGCACAGTGTTGATGGCAGTTCTGTTCTCTGTTTTATTCGCAATTTTATCTGCTCTAAAAAAAAACAGAGGTCTTCACTTCTTTTTTTAACTCCATGTGGTCTCCATGTGGACTGGTGATTGATTATCTTAAAGGAAGGAAAGAAGCTTGCAAGTACGTTGGAAGTTTAGAAAATGAAAACTTGTCATTTTTCACTGTCTGAGTTGGTTGCTTGTTTTCTCATCTTTCTTGCCTGATGCAAGCAGGCTGGTAGTTGACAGTCTCGCCACTATCTCTAGAAGATAGCTCCACTTCATCGGAGACATAATGGGAGCTACTAACAGCGTTATCTACCTTTATTGGTGTGACCAACTTTAACTACGTGGCTAAGTGCATACCAACATAGCTATCATTTTATTATCTCCTATGTTGTATTTTGTTAATAACAACCTCTGGTAATTATGTCTTTTTTCATTAGGTGTTTCTATGAAAACACCTAATGAAAAGTGTGTTATTTTATTCTAATATTTCACTATCCAGTTACTCGGTGTTTGATATGCTCATAAAAAAGCATATGGTCTTTAACCAAGAATATTATTCACAATAAAATGATTTATGTGTCTAGAAAAGCTATTTACAAATACTTTTATAGGTTAATCTTATTTTATCTCAGTGATGGGTTATGCAATAGTAACTAAGCTCAAGTTTTAGAAATGGAAAAAAAAAAAAGCAAAGATCGAGGGTAGGTATTTGGGGTGGGGATAGGATGGAAACAGACAAGCAAGATCTATTACCTACGATATGAGCAGAAACACATATAGAAAATTCAAAATATTTGCATCAGGAATTCAGCCCAAATGTATTTGTTATTTGCTATTATTATGCTAGTGTATTATAATGGACAGAAATCAAGAATTGCCCCTTCAGTAGTATTTCTTGAGTTTTAATGGTATACAGGAAGATTATTATCCCATGTCACAGTGATTCCTAATAAAGGAATACATGCAATAAATTTCTTCTCTAGTTTCTTAAAAAATAAGTTTGTATCTGTATGTACTGAATCTACCAAGTACTAAGAAATACTTATAATCCTCTTACTATCAGAGCTAATATAATCCACTGACATGGGTAATACTAGAATCTTAATTTTTTTTTTTGTGATTTGTGCTTCTATCCTGTGCATGTGAAAACAGGATCTGAGAAGTGAATACATAGTAGTTAGCCAACTTACTTCCCCTTTTGCCTAAAATACCTGGAGACTTATTTCTAAATGTAGGACTCAATCAAAAATAATTATTTCATTTCAAAAGACTGGTAACATTGACATCTTTGACCCTACTGAGATTGTCATAGCCCATTTTTATCCACAACTATTCTGTTATTCTGAATTATGTTGTTTTCATAAATAAGTAGATAGCCAATTTGAAATACATATTTAAAACATTGATTTGTGAGTGTATGTATATCAGTCCACAGTCCATTTAATTTTAAATAGTTTGCATAGTGTTTGGTTCAGAGTGGTTTTGTATAAGAAATAAATGCCTCTCTTGATACTGATTCCTAAATTTAACTGTACACTAGGGAAATTTCTTCAGTTATTAATCTTCTATTAGACTTATTACTAATATAAGTGCTTAGGTATATCACTGCTGTCTCCAAATACCTGACCTGTAAATAATTGCTCTAATTGCAGTTTTGTCATTTTATAATTTCTTTTGAGTCAAATACCATATACATATGTATTTATTTCTATTTATTTCTATTTATATGTGGCAAGACCTATATAGTTATAGATTAAGTGTATAGAGAAAATACATGTGCATATGTTTACAAACACAGACACATAGACATAGATGTATACATATATATTTACACAATGACAAAAAAAGTAAATACCTCCTAGCCTTTCTCTCCTGGTGCCTTAGATAAGTCCGAGAGCTCTATAGAACAGTATCTCCTCCTCACCAGCTTTTTTTGTTCTAACCTCTGAACCCATCCCTTTTCAAACACCAAAGCCAACTTCATCCTCTTAACAGCTAACATCCCATGATGTCCCACAAGACCTGCAGATTTACCAACTATTCTTTTCTTTAGATGGTTTTCATTCATTCTGAACTTCAGAAATGTTTAATTTTGAGGACCCGTCTTTAGGTTCTTGTAATTCTACTTATGTAAATCTATTTTATGTTTCACTGGCCCATTTTTTTCCAAAACCGTTCGCTTTCTCCTCAGTGGCCTCTAAGATAAATGCTACTTTTGGGTGCTTTTTAACTGCCTCCTGCAAGTGTCCAGTGCTTAAATTACTTTTCTTTTCCTTTTTCCTGTTCTCTCCAACCAGTACCAAAACAGCAATCCCACACTTTGTTCATAGGTCTTATAAATTCCCATGAAGCCTTCACAATTTTAAAAGGACTTTCATGGAAAACACTTAATAGTGTTGTGTACCCTTCCTCTTAATTCATCTATTCAGACGAAAAGACATTTATGAATTTCAAAAAATAAAATCAGAATAGTCTTGATATGAATCTATTTCCTTTTAACATAATTGCCACACATTTATTTGAATAGATATGTTATAGATATATAGCTACAGATATATAGATATAGATATATAGATATAGAGTTGATAATAGATATAGATACAGACCGCACTGCTTACATTTATTCAACAGATATTTACTGGGTAGCTACTATTCGCTAGGTTCTAGCAAAATGTGATTAGCAACTCTAGCAAACCTCATTAAAAAAGCTACCTGCATGAAATTGAGAAAAACTTAATATATGTGTTTTTCTTATGCTCATAAAAATATTAGATGAACAAACTTGAGTAGGCCATCATTTCCCTTTCTTTTTCAGTCATATAAGTAATAATAGTCTACCATTAGATTCTCTACAAGGTAATAATTTGGAAGTTGTAGTTCCATAAATAGTTAATTTTACATGGGTTGAATTCATACTTAGTCAACAAATATATATTATTATTAATTTTTTAATATAGCATTTTACCATTGCAAGTATATCCCACAGATATTTATATTATATTACTATTATATTACTATTATAATACTTATGTAATTCATTTCAATTTAAGCAAAATTTTATTAGTGTTTCCAAATAGAAATATAAAACGGAGCTTTGATCAGTAAAACTGAACTTTGTTTATGGTTATGTCAGATATTCATTTCCTGGCATACATTTATTATGTTGAATATGTGCATTGTGGAATCTGGGGAAAAGAGATACTATGAAATATGACCATGGGATTTCTATAAAGCAAATTTTGAAGCAGATTATTGAATATATAAAAACTGTACTAGGTTTATACATACATACAAAGTTTGGAATTCCTGATTCAGGTCTTTGGTAGTGTTTATCTTTTAAGGTATCTATGACAGAAGTGGAAATAGGAAAGACTTTTTTTGCTTCTGTATTTCTATATTACATGATTTCTTTGTCAAGCTGGCATTGTACATGAAACTTTATATGTGAATATGTCTGTGTGTCAAGTAAATAAGTTTGATTAATGAGAAAAATGTGATGATTAGCATTTTAATACTGTGCATCTGTTCAAGTCAAATATGATTTCATTTTCTACTTTTCTTGCTAAAGGTGTAAAAAATTCAGGCTGAGAATTAATATTGTTCTTCTCAGTCACAGTGGAAAGCATTTTTTTAGACCGAAAATAATTAATTTTAGAATTGAGTATACAAAAGATGTAACAACATTGGCCAATATTTTGGATGGAGCATTATTTGTTATTTTTTCAAATACTGCATCTTCAACCATATCATTTTTGGCTTAGCTTTTTTTTTTGCATATCTTTTCTAGTTGGAAATACAATTTGTATGGCTTGTTTCATTTAACATACCAGTATTTTTTTACTTTCATAATAATTCCTTTTATTATCATTTGTGAATGATAATTGTGAAGATAATTTTACATATAATGTCCTACTTAGTTCTTCTATTAATATTGAAAGGAAGGAGTTGCTAATGCTAATTTTATGGGTAAAGAAAATAATCTAAGATGTGCAAGAATTTGGAGAGGGCCTTTTAACTCAAGGAAAACTTAAGTTTAGAACCCAGTTCTGTCTGCTTAGGAGACAATGAATGTTTTATTTCAGCATTTTGCCTCTCTCTACTCTCTATAAAATTATCATTTTAAATGACTATATAGTTTTCCATCTTGTGAAGATATGTAGATGCATGAAAATATTTGGTTAGATTTTAGGTGAATGGAGAAATAAAATATAAGTTGTCTGTCTATGAAGTTTAAGGCTGAATTTGGATGTTGAAAATGGATGTTTGAAAACTTGTAGTTATAGCTGCAAAGCACATATATTCTCTAGGGAGAGCAAATAAGTTCATAAGTTCCTTACTACAGAAGATAAAGAGTAATAGGTAAGTCTTTCCCAGTTTTGAATAGATGAGCTTTCCAATGATGCTGGCAAGTTATATTTTGTCCTCTACAATTTCTGTAAAGCTTCAGATTACATATTTTGTATGATGTTTCAGACTGTTTTAAATCAACTTTGAAAAGATGCAGTTCTTCCGTCCTAAGTCTTTTATCTTAGAAGCTTTTGTAAAGTGGAAAACGAATGGAATTTGCGTACTTTCTGCTTGTCCAATATACAGTGTGACTTGGTTCAGGAAAGTGTCAGTATTCAAAGCTGGCGCAGAGTTTTGAACATGAGAAAAAAAAAATTACCCTATTATTTAAGTTTATATTACCTCTGTAGTACAATAAACCTAGAGATAACCAGATTTCAGATGGGATGATTATGATCCCTTGAATATTATTTGTAACATAACTAAGAGAATGTAAAGGATTACAGATAGGTTTATTTTTTGAAGTCATAAATTATGAGACTCTCTTAAAAAATCCTTTGTCCACCTATT